TTCAATGTCAAAACAATAAAGTTATCACTCTATTTATTTATGCCTATAAAAGTTTTCAATCACTCATTTCTTCATTGTCTTGCTTAATTATGTTTTAAGACTTAAGCTTAGGATTTTTTCAAGCACTCATTATTGGATTTGATTGATGCAAACGACTTGCCGTTAATCCATTTATGTCGTGTATTAATTTCTAGAGATCAAACGACTGTTTTCTTGTTTTTGCTTAGCATTTTCTTACGAAAGTGGTAAAGACTAAAAGAGAGTTTCTTTCGCATAATCGTGTTCTACGATCTTTGTTTGTCGAGAAAGCAGAGCAAATCTTATGAAGGTTACTTAAGATATTGTTACAAACCATAGAGATCTCTTAATGATCTAAACTTCTAAATGATATGACCAAATTAAAACTTATGTGAACAACATTATTGAATCGTTCAATTTGACAAAGTTGGCTAAAAGCATTTCTGTTCTGTTTACCTGTTTCTAATGCTAACAAATGATTACAAGTAGATTTATTTAAGATATTGGGCTATAAGGCCCATTAATCCCATTATATTTGTAAAATAAAATATAGGCCCCTTTTGTTCTTCTCAAAGTATGGTAAAAAAAAGAAAAACCGTGTATATGAATCGAAAAAGACCTTAATTCTCAGATTTATAAATCTTCGGAAAATTCCGACCAAATCTGTTTCCCTCTCTTTATCTCCTTGTTTGCGTATTCCTCAGACTGATTCTCTAAGCCGTGTCCGTGTGCCAGTGGCAGCCTTTGTTTTATTATCACTGCCGCAGTTCCTATTCTTGCCCGCCAACTGTTCGTCAAATTGCCTGAACCAATTTCATAGTAAGTTTTGTTCTTTTGACAATCCCAAAAGTTTGGCTTTTGGCTTTTGGGGATTCTCAACACTAGGGTTTTATTCAAACTACTCCGAGATATCAAGAATGGCTACTACTACGAATGGAAACTCTAAGAAAAGAGATGGTGGTTTATCGTCGCTTGCCCCTCGCAAAATCAACGTCCAGAAATTCTCAGAGGCTCGAGCAGCGGAGCTCGAGTCTCTTCACTCCATTGTGTCTGAACGTTTGAACAAGGACTTTCGATCAAAGAGGAATAAGAGGAGAAGGACCAATTCTTACAATAATCAGCCTGCAAAGAAGCGTTATATAAAGAGGCAAAAATCAGAGTCATTGATTGGTCAAGTATCAGGAGGAGGAGACCATGAAACAAAGATCACTAGACGAGTTAAGAGAAGAATGGAACTTAAAGGGAACCCTGAATCTGGTTTTTGTACTTCTGGTGATGGGACAAAGAGGCTGAGAACACATGTTTGGCATGCTAAACGATTCACTATGACTAAGCTTTGGGGTTTCCACCTTCCTCTTGGTTTACATGGAAGGTAAATTTCAAATTTGCAGTGTTTTTGCTTCGGATAGGTGGAGCCTTTTGAAAATCTTAAGTTTGTTTGTGTAATGGTTTTAGAGGAAGGGGATCTAGGGATGTCTTGAAGCAATCTAGGCAAGGTGTTCTTGTTCATGATGCAAGCTATCACATTGCTGTGCAATTGGAGGGTCCAGAGGCATGCATTTTCTTTATTCTTGATATTCTTCTTTAAATTTTGTTCAACTTGGTTTGTGCTTTAATATCTCCTTGATGTCTTTTGGCTTTGAATTTCTCAGGGCTCACTCTTGTCGATATTAAATATGCTACTCGAGCCTTCTCCGTCATCTCATTCCAAGGAAGTTTTCGACTCTATTCTCACAGGCCGTAGTTATGAAAACGCCATGGTATATTGAATATATGAATTTCTCTTTTTTAAACAGGAAATGAGAAGACAACTTAAGCATGATATAACCCTAAGTTTTTTGTTTTCTCCAGCTTTATCATGTTGAACCACCAGTTTCTCAAGCGATTGCTCCTGTAACTTATATGTGGAGACCTTCTCAGATACCAAAGAGAAGAGATGAGGAGAAAGAAGGTGACGGCATAGGAACTGATCGCCCAGTCTCAGATAGAGATCATGTAGACTTTCAAAAACTTTGGGTGTGGATCCATGCTTCTTCCTTCACTGAAGGATATGCTATTCTTAAAGTCGCTTGTCAGAAACAGGTATCTATTTGTTGTCTCTAGATGACATTTGTTGTTAGCTTCATGCTTTACATATTCTTGTGGAGATAATGACACCTAAAGTTTTTTCATTCAGATTAATGAGACAGGTGTCTCAATTGATTGCTTTTCACTCGAGGGTCAGCTTGCAAAACTTGAGATTTTTGGTCCAAAAGCATCTCATCTTCTCCAGAAGACCCTGCATCCTGCTACATGGTGAGCCATCTGAGTAAATATAGAATGATTTTCAAGAACGCAAATGAACAAAGGAAGATTTATCTCAGTTTTTTTTTTGGCTTTGCAGTAGCTCAGAGGATCCCTCTATTTTTAAAAAGTGTTCAATGGAAAAAGCTGAGGTTAAAAACGTTGCTGATCCTTACAAAGAAGAGAACGTCTCATCTGGCGCTATTTTAGCACAGTTTGTCATAGATCCGCGGTTAATCCTGAATAGTCCATGTGATGATAGTACAGTGTCATTTGAAACGACCAAAACTGAGCCTACTGAGTCACTTGAAACAACAACCAACACTGAGGCTGAAACTTTTCCTGAAGTTTTCAACTGCTTGTGGGATGCAAATAGTGAGCTGAACCCTCCAGAAGAAGAGAACATGTTGTGTTGGGAAAAGCATCAAAGTCGTATGGATTCTCTTTGCCTCGATAACCCAGCTGCTGAGGTTCCAAAGGTATCTAGTAGGCTAAGGAGTTCAAGGTCTTGTCCTTTACTGCTTCTTAAACATAAAAAAGTTGGGGATGCACCTACCGGGTAATATGTACTTTGGTTGAATCGTTCTGTGACGTTATTTAGATTAATGATCTGAAAGTAAATCACTGTTATTTCTTTCAGATGGTCTCTTATACTTCCCCTTAGTTGGATCAAAGTCTTCTGGAATGCCTTCGTCTCAAAAGGAGCTCATGCAATAGGTCAGAGGGAGAAACGCTGGGTTTCTTGTGATGTATATTTTCGCTCTCTTAAACTTTATTCTCCGAATGTTAAGATTCTCTTGCTATGTAAACTTATTAAACCGTATATTTGAAAAATGTCTGAAACTTGTCATTTTTTATTTTTTGCAGGATGGTTTGCCCTTTTTCCCATCAGATTTCCCGGACTGTAAAGCGTATTCATCTTTTACACTGAGCGAGGCTGCAGACTTGGAAGAAAAGGCACAACGTCGCCCTCCAGCCATAAGACCTTTCAGAATTCCCATTCCACCTCCATGGAATAGTATCCACGTCACACGGTCTATTGGAGAGAGTTCCAATCAAAAGCTTACAAGCAATGGGACGAATGGAGTGGAAATTTCCAGTTCTGGTGGTAATCTATTTGATGGTATAGTGGCAAGAACATCAGATTCGCTGACTACTTTTCTCCAAACATTCACAAGTGACAACTTGCTTTTATTTCCTCACAACACTTCAAAACCAAACCTTATGAAGACGCTTCAAGAAGATGATAAAAAAGTAAGAGCTCAGATCCATCAGAGTAGTAAGAAACTGTGCCTCGTCAGAGTTCTTTTACATGCTTTCAAGGAAGGTTCTTTCGAAGAAGGCGCGGTTGTATGTGCACCAACTCTTGCAGACATATCATTGCTAAAAGCCAGGTAACATCTCCAAGAATCCATGTTCAATAAATTGTGATCCATTGGAACTATTTCATTTTGGGATCACATTTCGGGTACATTATGTTTTACAGTTGCGGTGAAGGAGAAGAAGGGCGTGTTACAATCCCGCAATCTTCTGTAAGTTCTTACTTTCAAGAACAACCTTCTGGAAGCTGGGAACTAAATGTCCCTAAAGACACTCTTACAGAGCAATCTCATAGATGGCCAATCGGGTTTGTAACGACAGGATTTGTCCGTGGGAGGTAAAAACTAAAAAACTCACTAAATCTTGAGTACAAGTCGCCAGAGGCTGATTTGGTTTCTGAGCTCTTGAAGTTGTCTTTATTGTGCACAGTAAAAAGCCGGCGGCAGAAGCTTTCTGTGATGCGGTGTTGTTAGGGAGACTAAGAGGCGAGCAATGGAGAGACAAAGATGTAAAACGGAGGAAGAAGCAGATATATGTTTTAGTTAGAAACCTAAGATCTTGTGCTTTTAGACTCGCACTTGCTACCATTGTCTTGGAGCAACAAGACTCTTGTGATGTCCACTGCTTTTGAAAATTCACATTGTTTTGTTACATATCAACCGAAAAAGACATGTTAAGAAATGTGAAAGAGAATTACATTTTTTCCAGCAGAGGCACTTATAGCAACTGATTCACCGGATTCTGAAGAATGACTTGATGAATCTCCTCCTCATAAAAGCAAGCAGTCTCTGCATATACATAGATAATCAATCACTTGTCATACATAACACCAAAAAGAGGAGAATCTAGCAACTAGCAGTAGACTGAAAAACTAAAGATTGTCACTTTCACCAGAACTGACTTTCATTCACTTCACTATTATTGATCCAATTCCAACGAACCAGATGGATAATTTTGATCCGAGTACACAAACATAGAGATCATAATTCAAACCAATGCAATTTCATAGAAGAAATTTGTTCAAAGATTTTGTTTGAGTTTTCATACGTACACATTCTTCTTCACATAGACGAATAGACACAAGTTATAAATATATTATCAGAGGAAGGTAGGAGCTATATGTCTACTATTTTCATTTTACAAGCCAATCAGAGCGCTCCATGTCATAGCCCTCTCTCACCAATCGCGCGCTTTCATGCCCACTCTCACCAATCGCGAGTTGAGCGCGTGTTTCCAATTTCCGTGAGTGTTAACCCACCAAATCGCTTGTTTTGAAACTAACTCGCTTGTTTCAGAAAAAGCCTCGCGTGCGGTGATTAATTGTTTTTCTTTTTTCTTAAAAACTTTATAAATATACAAAATCGCCAAAAGCTGAGAACGTTGTCGTTTCAATGCTTAAACCGAACCACATCGAAGTTTATTAAGTCCGGTACGGGAAACTCCTAGGACTAAAACTCTCTTTCTCTCTCGCTCTCTCTACCGGCGCCGGAGAAATTGCCGATCAACACAATCTCGACTACTGCGACGAGCTTAAAATTATCGACTTCTAGATGGAGAGACGTGTTCCAAACGCATTCCCTGGTGCTCCACCACCAGTTCCATACTATCAAAACAACTACAACAACCCTCATCATCATCATCAGACTCATCCGCCGCCGCAGCAGCACCACCATGTCGCCGCCATTGGATTCCACCAATACCCCCAAAACGACAACAGGGATCAGCGTTTCAATCAGCCGCATTACGCCGGCCAACAACAGAACATGATCGTTGATCAGAGTAATAACGCTCCTCCGCCGTTTCCACCGAGTCCTTGCGGTGGTGGCAGCTTAAGGAAGAGACGGTCTCAATCAGCTACAGGTTATCTTCAGTTTCTGCTACATATCGACAAAAAAGTGTAAACTTTGGTGATTCACCATTAAAAAGACTTACTCTTTAACTCGCTTCTGATAATCTGAATTCAGATACTGCTGATGGTAGTATTGCCAAGTTATATGTTGCGCCCATCTCAAAGACATCAACTGAATATGATGTGATTTTCTTGGCTTACTCTTTTATGCTTTTATTTAAATGTTTCCTTGAGAATCTACTTGTGACAATCTGTGTTATACATCAGATCCGTCAGGTCTTTGAAACATATGGTAATGTCACTGAGATCATTCTACCCAAAGATAAGATGACCGGTGACAGAGCAGGTGATTTCTTTTTTTTTTTTGTTTCCCAATTACTTGAAAAGCATTTTCTTTCATTGATATTCTTGCTTCTGGGGTTTAGACGTTTCCTTATAACATTTTTTTATGTATCTTTGCAGCTTACTGTTTTGTTAAGTACAAAACGGTAGAAGAGGGTAATGCGGCTATTGCAGCTTTAGCTGAACAGTTTACCTTTCCTGGGGTGGGTTCTTAACTTCCGCGATGTTTTGTTTTAACATATCCTCGCTGATATGGCTCTTTTCAAACGTTTATTTTGTGTTTTTTTTTTCAGGAAATGCTTCCAGTCAAGGTCCGATTTGCTGACGCTGAACGGGAACGGATTGGTAAGAGTAGGTGTCCATACTTCTAGAGACAGAAATTTAGATAGAACGTAAAACTCTGAAGACAACATTGGTAGTGTAATAGGGGAACCTTTGAAACAAAATCATGTCTTACCTAAGTTAGTATTTGATTTACATACCTTGAACTGTTTCTCCTTCTCCCCCTTTTCTTAGCGCATAAGACCAAGTTTCACATTTGTGTATTCTCTTTTCATCTGCACTTTAGGTTTTGCCCCAGTGCAACTTCCTGATAACCCTAAACTATATGTTAGATGCCTCAACAAACAAACTACAAAAATGGAAGTCCATGAGGTATGGCAGGACTCCTTTTCGGCTTTAACTTTCAGTTAATCTGAATTTCTTTGTCACTGCCAATTGACAGAACAGTGTGCAGATTGTCTTCTTTTTTTTTTATAGTTAAATTTCTTACTTTGTTGTGAATAAATTCTCAAAGTGTCCTCTTATCAGGTCTTCTCTAGGTTCGGAATCATTGAAGATATTTATATGGCACTTGACGACATGAAGATTAGTCGTGGTATGTCCGTTTCCCCTAGATATTTTGGTGCTTGACTCTGAATTATGCTTGTTTCAGACATCCTAGTTTTAAATTGTTCAAATTTTGTAGTTTCTCCTCCAGTAGATTGGCGGATACTTCATATTGCTTAGTAACAGAAGAATACTTGAACATAGTAAACTGTTATGACAGTTCTCCTCGAAAAACTGCCTGGACAGCCTTACATTGCTTCTCTCTAACCAATGCCTAAAAGTAAGATTTTGGATAGCATGAAACCTTATTAACTAACTTCTTTGCTCTCTGCAGGGTATGCATTTGTTCAGTTTTCTTGTAGGGAGATGGCACTAGCAGCAATCAAAGGTTTAAATGGAGTCTTTACCATGCGGGTAGTTCAGATTGTTCTTTGTTGTATCTCAATGGCTCAATGTTTCTTTGGCGTCCAATGCTCCATGACTTACTGTGTTTCTGTCTTCCTTCAGGGTTCTGATCAGCCTTTGATTGTTAGATTTGCAGATCCTAAAAAACCAAGGTTTTACTGTTTACTATTCTTCCTTTTCGACATTATTTGTTTGAGTATTTCCCTGATTTTCTTTTCAATTCCAAACTCACTCTCTTGGCTCTTACACTTTAATCTTACCCCATCACTTATATCTGGATCGTTTCGTGTCTTCAGGTCTACCTTTAACACTCCTCCACCTGCAATGCAACACTTCGACCCAAATTGGCATCCACAACCATATCCCCAATGGGAAAACAAGGAACCTGCAGCCCCTAGAGTCGTTCAGCATCATGATTTCTCTTCACAGCCAAATCACTTCCCGCACCAAAATACTCCAGCAGTATCCGAGGTTCATCAACCACTGCATCAAGATATTCCACCTCAAAATTTTGAGAAGCATCAGAATTCTGAGACTGCCAGCGTAGAGGTACTCTTTTTTGTAGGATCTGCTAATGGTAGATGGATCTTGAACTCCGAACTAAAGAGTTTATTTAGACGCTTTAGGTTTCATAAATCTCGTATATACATCTGCTTGATCTTATATCTGTAACTACTTTTTTGTAGACTAGAAGTGATGGTCAGAAGATTTCTAGTCATTCAAATGCATTCCCTGAAGATCAAAATACAGTGAGCTCTGAGTGTGACTGGAGTGAACATACTTGTCCCGATGGGAATAAATATTACTTTCATTGCGTCACTTGTGAAAGCACGGTATACGTTTCCCTCTTTCAATGTGTACTCATCTGAAGCAATATCTACTTTTACTGAATTTATGGATGAACACACAGTGGGAGAAACCGGACGAATACTCCATGTTTGAGAGATGGTTCGAAGAGCAAACAAGGTTACCAGATCAAAAACTTGTATCTCCCCCGTTAAACAATGAGAGCCAAGAAGCAATCGAAAACAGCGAGCAAGTTGAGTCTGATCTATTGCCACAGAATGCTAAACTCCAACAACCATCCTTATCCACAGCGGTTAGAGATAATTTCTACAATGTGTCGTATTGACAGACATCGAGTTCCATTTTTTAGATAGTCTCTCACAAGAAGAGTAAATTGCAATATGTTCTGTGATGTGTTTTCAGGATCAGGAGAACAATGTAGTATATCCAGTAACAACACTAGCTGTTGAAACAACATGTTCGTAAAAGGTTTCTTCAGGTAATGAACAGTTGATTCTGTTTACTACAATTCAGCATGGGCTGATTTGGTTTCTGAGCTCTTAAACTTGTCTTAATGTGCAGTAAAAAACCGACGGCGGAAGCTTTGTGTGATGAGCAATGGAGAGACAAAGCTGTAAAACGGAGAAAGAAGGAGATATTAATTACGTGTTGGTTAAAAGAAGAAACCTATGCTTTTAGACTGCAGACAGTAAATAGTACTGCTTTCTAAACTAAATTTTTGCTTTAGAAAATTTGATAAACGAAAAATAATCGAAAATTTGTTTTGATAAACGGTAAATAAACCTATTTTCACCTGATCCAAACCAAAAACTAAATGTTATCTATTAACCTCTACTATAATCCATTTCAAATTCAATCTTATTATTTACAAAAATTCGGGAAAAATTAATTTCCTTTGTTAGGCTGGCAGTAATATTTATTGAAATTAATTATTGAAAAATAATACTCCTCATTTATAAAAAAACTTGAAAAAACTGGAGTGCCTCTCTGTGAGTGAGAGAGTTATTACATCGTCAGTCATGTTCTTCCATTTAAAGACAAAATAGATTCGCAGACCAAAGAAATCAAATCACTCTCACTTACAAGGAAGAATAAGAAGACCAAAGAGGTTAGTCTTTGCTTGATTTTAGTTTCCAGATTTCGATTTTGAGTCTTTCTGACCTTGGATTCATGATCTGTGTTGCTTTTTTTCTTCTTCGAATCTCGTCAAATCTTACTATGTTCGTCCCCTGTCTAGATCTCGAGTTCTCTATAGATTTGATTTTCTGCAGAAGCTAACCGCTTTTTGTTATGCCGAATCTGATGCTTTTGTCTTTTATTCCTAATTGTTTTTTTTTATTCGTCTTCTTCTCCTTCAGAGTTGTGCAACGCTAACTAATGGCGAAGATCAAACCTCAAGCATTATTGCAGCAAAGCAAGAAGAAGAAAGGACCGTCTCGGATAAGCATAACCAACATCGTCATTTACACTTTGGCTCTTCTATTGCTTGTCTTTGTTCTCTTCTCTGCTTACAGACGTTGGACTCACAGGTTCCTCTCTTCATCTCTATCAAATTGAGATTGATTCTTTTATCCCAAAGTTTAGGATGTGTTAGTTTCTTGGTTGTGAGAAATTCTTGTGCAATTTCAGATCTGAGATCCCAACGCACAATGGTAGATCAGTTCTTGAGGTAATGCCTCTCTATATGCCTTTTTACTTGTTTAGCTTCCCTTCTTGGTTTGATGGGGATATATATGATTGTCCTGTGTAGGATGCAGCCTTCCCTGGAATGAAGAATGTTGATCTTCCGCGGTTTGCTGTGAGTTTTATCCCACAATATACCATATGCTTTGTTCACTTTGGTATTTTCTTTTCTTGTTTCCTAGACTTTATCTATCTCTGTTGATCGCTAGGCCTTAGATACGGGCAAAGGTTCAGTGACCATTGAACTGTTCAAGGATACTGCTCCCAATGTTGTTGACCAGTTCATGAAATTATGGTAAGCAAATCTTTCTCAGGTCCATTTACATGTTTGCCTTTTTAACTTACTTCTTGCATCAAACTTTGTCTTGTGTCATTGGTGTGCGGCAGTCAAGATGGGTATTTCAAAGGTTTCTTATTCAGTCGAGTTGTAAAGCATTTTGTGATTCAAGCGGGTGACTCTGCAGAGTTCGATGCTGTCAAAGATTGGGCACTCGAAAGAAAGAACATTGATACCAGGTTGGTACACACATGAATTGATAGGAAATATGCAAAAAAAAGAAGCTCGGATTAAGCTAATTATGGAAACTCTCTCTGTCTGTGTCTTGATCAGTTTAAAACATGAAGAGTTCATGGTGGGAACTCCTAAAGCTAAAAACGAGCTAGGGGGATTCGAGTTCTTCATTGTATCTGCTCAGATCAAAGATCTGAATGAGAAATTGACAGTCTTTGGTCGAGTTTCTAAGGGACAAGACGTCGTTCAGGAGATCCAAGAGGTTGAGACAGATGATCAGTATCAACCAAAGTCACCCATAGAGATCATGTCCGTCACTTTGCTTCAAGACATGTAAAAGCTTTTACTTCTTGTCTCTCTTGTATCAAACTCGAGTGATTTTTCTTGTAATTTGAAACCCTTTTTATCATCTATTTTCCATATCATTTCTCGTACCAAGAATTAGATCCTAACAACGAATGGAAAATTTATATATTTGAAGGTTGAAACGAGAAGAATAAAACAAATTATACAACATTGATTACATTGTTGTGCAAAACACTTCCACTAACATGCAAAACGTGGCTCAGTCAATTATCCCAACCAGATCTCCTCTTCCTCTCTCTAGGCCGATTCTCAGAACTGCAACAGTAAGAGAAACAAGTCAATACTGTTACTGTGTTACAACTTAAACAAAAGATTGAAACTAAAAGGAATCAAACCTCTGTGAATGATTCTGGCTCGAGTTATGTAACGAGGCATTTTGAGTAGGTGCTACTGGGGGAGCTTGACTCTGAGTTCTACCCATGTCCCCACCAATGGTACCACCCGAGACAAAGCCCATTAGGGATGGTCTCTTGTTTGGATAAGCTTGGCTTTGTGGATTCGATGGCGTTGCAGCGACAAAGCTACTCTTGAATTGGGCCATTACTCCAGTTCTCACTGAATTGATTGCCCCGCTTCTACTTGGTGCAGCTTTAGAAGATGGTGTCCCACTAGATTCCGAGCTAAATCCAATACCAAGACCAAAATCAACTCCACGTACTCCTTTGTTTCCACCACCTCCTCCTCGGCCTTTCTTACCACCTAAATCATAAGAGATTAAAGAGATCACACACAGGTTTGGATAGGGATTCCCTCACTTGACAATACTATACATGCAAAGAAGACATTAAACGTTTCCTTTTTGGATTCAAATACTAGTGCAAAGGTTTCTGTTGGTAATACTGATAGAGCTACAGAATGCTTACCTCCTTTTCTCCCGTCACGCTTGGACTTGAATCGTCCATCCTATTGATTTACAAAGGTAAAATTTGACTCAACAAACATGTTTTCGTCTATGCAAAAATGAAACTAGAGCGATGCAATGGAGCTAGTAGAATGAACAATCATAGCATGATGGAAGATACAAGAAAGAAAATTTATAGAATGCTTTCAACCAAGAGAAGGTGTAGTTACCTTCATGGCGAGATCCATGAGTTCTGGAGGCACAATTTGACCAGCTGCAACCAGACTAGTCACCAATTCACCAGCAAATCTAGCCTCTCTCTGCGTAACAAGTGTATAGGCAACCCCATCTTTGTCACCAGCACGGCCTGTTCTACCAATACGATGTACATGCATGTCCATATCTCTTGCAATGTCATAGTTAACCACTGTCTTAAGCGATTTGATGTCAAGACCTCGGGCAGCAACATCAGTGGCGATCAGCACATGGTAGATTCCAGATTTGAACTTCTGCAATGTTTCCATTCGTGATGCTTGGTCTTTATCACCGTGAAGAGCAGCAACTTTAAAAGAATTTAGAGTAAGCTGAGCTTCGATCTCATCAACAGTGGCTTTTTTAGAAGCAAAGACTAAAACGTCACCCTCATCAATCATTCCAGGGAGCTTCTCAAGTAGCCAAGTAAGTTTTTCAGCATCAGAAGGTATTACAATGACAACCTGCGTAATGTCTTCATTGGCCATCCCCACTTCACCAACTGTGACTCTAATAGGATCTGAAAGGATTTCCCTAGCTAACTTTTCAACTTTCCAAGGCATAGTGGCTGAAAAGAGTAAAGTCTGGCGATCAGGACGAATCTGGCCAACGATAGACCTTACTTGTGGCTCAAAACCAAGGTCAAACATCCGATCTGCCTCATCAAGAACCAAATAACTGGCTCTCATCATTGTTAAAGCCTTAATCTTCAGCATGTCTATTAACCTTCCAGGAGTAGCAACAACTATTTCGCATCCCGCCTTGAGTTCCTTAAATTGTTCATGCTTAGACATTCCACCGTACACAGCAGAAACTCGTAAGCCATATGCTTTCGAAAATTTCTTCGCTTCCAAGAAGATTTGATGAGCCAATTCTCTGGTTGGAGCACATATGACACCAATTGGACCTTCATCTTTCTGAAGTTCCGGCTGATCCATAATATGAACAATCATGGGAAGAACAAACGCTGCAGTCTTACCTGAACCAGTTTTGGCTATGCCAATAACATCTCTACCAGATAGCACAATAGGTAAAGCCTGACATTGGATTGCTGTAGGTTTTTCATAAGCTTGCTTTTTGATAGCACTCATAATCTGTGACGAAAAACCACAATCCTCAAAGGTCTTAACTGGCCGATGAACATCAAAACCCGACACACGGATTCCTAATCTCTGTCGGTAATCCGAAGTTTCTTGTTCACTCATTCCTGGATTAAGAAATTTAAACAATTTAGATGCAACACCAACAACAACTATATATTAAAGCAAGTTACTTTAACGAATAGAGATACTTACCCGATATTGATTCCAGCTCCTCGTAAAAGTCCTTATTGATTGGTTCGTAATCGATGGAGCTATGATCCAGAGCTGGAATCGGCTCAATCTTCCTTTTATCCACAACAATTGGATTATCATCGGAATCATACTCTAGCATCCCTGCATCCACCGCCTTGGCTGCAGCGTAAACCTCCTCGTCGGAGTTATAACCTGCGTTAAGCGCATCGGCGGCTAGTGTCAGGCCCAAATCCTTCTTGGCCTTGAGGAAACTCTCAACAGGATCGTCATCCTCGTCGTCCTTGTACCTCTCCAATTTCTCCTTTGGCTTAGGAGGTGGAGCAGATTTCATCTCCTGGTGAATTCCCTCCATAAAAGCATCTAATGGATCGATCTCATCATCCTCGCCACCGTTAGCCGCAGTAGAACCGCTTTCCTCAATGTCTTCCTCAGCTTCTTCGTTTTCTATGTAATCAATGTTATCTAGATCGGCATCTTCGGAGTTGTCTCCGCCACGAGACGACGGAGGGACGTAGAGACGTTGTGGTGGTGCTTGAGATCGCTCGAAACTGTAGCTAGTTTGTCGATTATTGCCGAATCCTTCAATTCCGAACTTGCGATTTGACATTCTTCACTAAGAATTTCTCTTCTCAGCTATAGCTTTGAGCAAAGAGCTCAACTGTTGCCAATTACGATGAAATTTAATTTAGGGTTTCGCGTTTTTGTTTTGCCGGTGGTATGTAAAATCGGAGAGGAAGGAGACAGTCTCAACTAAAAATTATTTCCCGGCTTCATCGACTTGTCAACCGTCAACGTCTACACATTTGGGCCACTAGTGGGCCTTTGTTAAGCTTTTTTTTTTCTTTTTTCCCAAGGGTCAATTTTTGTAATATCACCCAATTAGTGGATTAGTGTTTTTTCTTCATAAACATGTAATAATCGGATCTGATACGATAATCTATATGCTCGTACATGATTTTATGCATTATTAATGTTTTTTTCGATTATACTAAGAATAATAATAGGGTTTAAATTTTGGTTATGAGCAAAAATGAACACCTTTAAAACCTCTCATGTAATTTAGCTTTTCCAAAATTTTGACACATTTAAAACCAGTCAATATATATAGTAAGAAATTGTGTTGTGTACCTTTTAAATTCCCAAACATCACCAATTAATTAAAAAAAAAAACTTTTTGTTGAAAAAATGGAGACTTACAAAGCAATTATCCTAATCGGAGTTACTGTTTGCTGTTATACATTCTCCGGCGTCCAAGCCGCCGGCCGTTCAGTAGAAGAGACATCCCAAGTCCCTGCTTCCTCACCTGACGCTTCGCTCCTCGAACCACCCATATCATCAATCTCGGCCGTCCCAACCTCCGCGCCAGCCCCTACCTCAGAAGACATTAGCACCGAATCTAATTTAACTCCCACGGCGGCGGTCTCCGCACCTGCACCCGGACCATCCCAAGAAGACATCGACATCAACTTCGACTCCGTCACAAACATAGCTGATCTAGCTCCTAAATTTGAACATATAAACAAAATCGATTTCTCGTCAATGAAAATCGACACCACGGCGAAAGATCTCTGCAAAAACACAGATTACAACAACGAATGCATCGCCGCGATTCTCCCGGATTTACAGAAACAAGCCGAAGGAGGAGGAGGAGGAGAAGGCGGAGGGTTTGCTCCTAAGGATGTGATGCGAATGGAAGCTGAATCTCTGTTTAAAAAAGCGAACGCGACTCTGGATTACGCGAAACGTGTGGTGGAAGATAGCAAAACGCCGATGGCTGTGAAAGAGGCGATGAGTGTTTGCGTCGAGAATTACGATTCGTTGATGTCAGGTCTTGAAGAAGCGAAGATGGCCATGGAGGAGGGAGATTACGGGAGATTGGATTCGGTATTGAGTGCTGCGATCTCCGATGTGTCGACTTGTTCTGATAATTTCGTGGATGTTCCTGGTGTTGATTCGCCGACGGCGTCTCTTGATGAGCTTATGAAGAAGCTCTGTAGCAACGTTTTGGCCATGTCTCAAAAGGTCCAGAACCGTTAGATCCATGTCATCACTGAAAATTTTTATGAATTCAAAATTTTGATTATTATGTTATTTATATATCACTTCTGTCGCCACTTTAGCTAAAAGTTAGCCAATTAATAAGCGGTAAGAAATCACTGACAACTAGTGATAATTCTTAACTTGAAGTCTTGAATTATATACAAATAATTTGTTGAATTAATCAGAAGCTTTCACCCCATGAATAAACATCATTTGAAAGACTTATACAAAATTGATTGTTTTTTTTATTGTTTGTTTTAAAACTGTAGCAATAAATTTCATCAACTTCGTAAAATTATCATTCTTATTTCTTCCAAAGTTCCAATATAAGATAACAATAACAAATTTACCATTTCACAAGTGATTAAATTATGTATTCCTCTCTTCTTCTTTTTTTTTTTTTTTTTTTTTACGCATGAAATCAGAACATCGCCGTCACGTGAGAAGGAAAAAGAACACGTGTCTTTTTATGACACGACAGAAAGAGGCATGGGCTAACATACACAGATGTGCATCTTCTTAACATGCGCCGCACCGGCATGTCTAAAACAAAAACAAACGCAGCAGAAGAAAAAAAAAGGAAACAAACGAGAGAGAGAGATGAGAGAAGAGAGGATTAGCAAAAACAGATAAAAAAGGAAACGAGTTCACTCTCTGAGTCGGCTCACCGATTCTAGCTGTCGAAGAAGACCGATAAAAAAGGGATTTTTTTTTTTTTGGTATATTTTTTGTGTGAGTGTGTGTGTGGGTTGTTGTTGGTGTTGAAATAGCAAAAAAATGGTGAACGACGAGATAATAAGTCTCTCACCTCTTTACTACTTGTCTTCTTACGCTTTCTTCTTAATTCTTTTTATCCCCAATTCTCTCCCTAACCCTAATTCTTCCTTGCTTCAATTCTCCAATTTTCCCAACAAGTCTTCTCATCATCATCATCTTCTCGATTCTCTCAATTCGTCTTTGCCGAGCAATCTAGGTATTCTTCGTTGCTTCTCTCTTGATCTGGTTTTGATTATTGCTTGTTGATGATCGTATTGTTTAAAGTTTGTATTTTTCTGTGTTGGTTTGCTCTTGATTCGATCGTATTGGTGTTTGTTTCAATTCGTATAAAGTTGTGGATCCGCGAGAGATATGAAAGTTTAGTTCTTGTTTGTGTTTTCAATTGATTACTCGTTTTGATTGATCTGGGATTCTAATGATGCACTCGTTGAATTTCAATTTGTGTTTGCTTAATTGGTGTAATGATTTGATATAAATGTTTTGTTTCTCAGTATTGGAGCTTGGAGATTTCTCAATTCATCAGTTAATCTTGGAGTTAAGAGGGAAAATAGTTTCTATGCCTATATATGCTCTACAATGGAAGCTAATGGTGCTACTTACTGTGATGGTATGAGGAATACTGTGAGGAAGAAACGTAGCCTCACTTGTCGTCGTCCTCGCCCGGAGGGATCCAGTGTTTTAACATCTTCAGATCATTTCAGCAAGATTTCAAGTGATGATATACCGGCTTTTGATACTAACCCTAGGAGGAAAGAGTTTAGTCTTAGCCACTGTATATCAAGGGCTGAATCTATAGCAGAATCTGAAAGAGGAAACAATGATTCTCGGCGGAGAGAGATCATCAATAGAAATAAGCGTTCGACCGAAGGTGCTCTTGCACCTGCCAGCTCGAAAAACACTAGCCGGAAAGATGAAGGTAACGGCGGCATGATCAATGGAAAGGGAACTGATTTGGGTGAGTTAGAGGGAGAAACAAAGAGAATGAAGCTTAAGATCGGTGGTGTGAGCCGGCTAGTTCATGCTAATGGTTCATCTAGAAAGTCTTCAAAACCGGTGACTGATACTATTTGGTCCAACCATGATTTACAGGTGAATTCTCTTAATGTGGATATATTGACAAAGCTCAATTTGTTGAATTGTATAGCATCCGATGAGATTTATAGTACTTTGTATCAACCTATTGCATTGAGTATCTTTTTCGGTAAATGCTACGCTCATTTCGGGCCTTACGGCCCATAATCTCCTCGTGATCGGAGACCAGAGTTAGGACTAATTAGTCTATTATCCGTCGCTTGGGCTCAAACTAGTAATGTTTACTGTTTATGGACAGCAATCTGAAAATGTTATCTTATGCATTTCACTTTGGTACTCCAATGGAGAGGATTAAATCGTGTCTTAATTTCTGTGGTGAGCTTTTTTGACAGTTTAGATTCTGTAAACTTTGATATCCTTTTACATTAAATTTTATTTGATTGCAGGAAAGTTCAGAAGATTGTAATTCCCCTCTAGATAAGAAAGCTGATCTTGAGGGAGTTACTTTGGATGCTGAGATAGACGGATCCATGACAGGGAGGAGAAAACAAGGGGAACCATCTGGCTCGGTTCGCAAGAGCAAGCGAGCCCCAAAGAAACGAGTTTTTGATAGCGATGACGACAGTGATGATGAGATCCGGTATTTGGAAAAATTGAAATATAAGAGAGTCTCTGTGTCTAATGAGGATACTGAGTCTGGAAGGACGCAATTGAAGCCATCTGGGATAACAAATGGGGAAAATTCCGGCAAGAAGAAAGCTGTGTCTGAACAGGCGTCCGAAGACATGGATTGTGCGGAGCAAATGGAAGCGGCGTCTGATGAAAAAGAGATTGGTAATGATAGTAAGAGGGAATCAACTATGACCAGTCGTCAGCGAGCCCTTGCTTCTGGCAGATCAAGCGCGATTGATTTTTCAGATGGATTACCTCCTACATCGAGAAGTAAGGTTTTAATCTTTTGCTACTTCCACATAAATCTTTAGCAATAAGGGGTCATAATGTATTGTGGTAACTTATGTTGACAAATAGGGAAAAAGGAGACTCTTTCAGAAATGGAGCAGCAATTAAAGAAGGCAGAAGCTGCTCAAAGGCGTAAAGCTCAGATTGAGAAAGCTGCAAGGGAGTCTGAGGTTGGTGGTTTTTCTTCTTTCTCCATTGTGCTATGCGCATTAACAAATTAGCTGATCACGAGAGGATGGTCTTGGTTTTGTTTTCACAGGAAGTGGCCATTAAAAAAATTCTAGGTCAAGATTCGAGCAGGAAGAAGCGTGGAGACAAAATAAAAAAACGACTTGATGAGTTAGCTCAGGTATTGGGATATAAGCACTCTATAAACCACCTTATCGCTAATGTATTCTTGCTTAGTCAAAATGAGATGCTGAAAATAAGAGTCACATGCGTTTGCAGGAGAAGGCTGCACATGAGGAGAGAGCCTCAACTTGCTACATCAGAACAATAATGGGTCCTAATGGAACCACTGTTTCATTTCCCATTGACAAAGTGCCTAGCCTGTTTGATCCCAAACCATCAGGGTATGCTACTTTCTCTCTGTTTGGAATCAGATTCAATGTCCCTTAATCTCGTAGTTGATTGGATCTGATTAATGTGAACAATTATTAATCCTACACTTGCTACATCAGCTTGTTATTGAGCAGTATAATTAGTAGAGAATGCTTCAAATGTTTTTGGGTATGGAAAATATAAAGAATGCTCTAGGATTCAGGTTTCTATCCAATATTGTTTGGGTCTGTTGATGTTCTACATTCAATCGCAAAACGATTTCAAACCTTATGATAACAATGTCAAGTAATTTCTTAAACTGCAGTTATCCTCCTCCGCGGGAAAATTGCGCAGGTCCATCGTGCACCAATCCTTACAAGTATCGCGACTCGAAGACTAAAGTTCCTCTATGCAGCCTCAAATGCTACAAGGCGGTTCAGGAGCAACAGATTGCACCGGCTTAGATATTGATGATTTTTTTGATCGAAATGAGAAGAAGTTAGCTTCCTGATTTTATAGATGATACAGAAGACAATTGTTTAGTTTTCTTCATTTTGCTTTTAGACTTCTCTGATCATTGACTAGATATTGTTTTTCTCCCATTGTCCTTTGTGACGAGATCGTGGCCGTCCATTGGCTTTTTCACCAAACCATCACATCATAGCCGTTCATATATACAAATCTTCAACGGCTATCTCTCGATTTAAATAATAAAGGGATACATTTGTTTTTTTAAGACATGATACGAAATGCTCTATTATTGGAAGCAAGCAAGGCATCATCATGGGTTACCACCAGTACGTCGTCGTTTCTGAGCTGTGTGTTTGCGTCTCCCACTTCTGATTTCTTAACATTATCGTTCGTTCTCCATAATTGTTTTTTGCAGTTGACAATTTTTTTTTTTTTTTTTTTTTTTTTTTTTTTTTTTGCAGTTGACAATTTGTATTAGGGACAAAGGAAACTTATATTACTTGGCAATGATTTCTCATCACTCTTCTATCTGTTTTAATAATCAAGTAATCTTATTATGCGTGTGTTGTTTAATAAAATGTATTTTAATTTGTTTACATGAATGATTCTTTTTCATCTAACCTAACTTGAAACTATAGACATGGCACCCACTCCTTCATCTTTCCTTCAAACATAAACCATCAATTCCCAAAAAAAAAACATATATTTATATCACAAAAACTCCTTTATGTTTCTTAACTTCTCGACAATTCAACCACTTTAAACAAATATGAATATCGCCTGCGGCGGAAAGTGGCGGAGAGAGGCGGAGCAGCTGGTGGTTAAGCCTTTCCGGCTAGTGACAACAACTCTCCTCAGCCTCCTCCTTCCTCTCGCTTTCCTCCTCCTTAGTCGTCTCTCTTCAGCTTCTTTCCTCTTCTCCTTAACCAAATCTCAGCCACAAACAGAATCATCGTTCTTCTTCTCTCTGTTTCTTCGCGCGAATCCGGCGATCGTATACGCCGTCGTTTCGACAGTAAGCGTTTACACTCTAGTTCTTGGCCTAACCACCAAGATCACAGCTACAGATCCAAAACGTTCGATTGCTTTTTATCCACATGTCAGCATCGCGTGGCTTACACTCTTCCTTGTCCAAATATCCGTCGGTTTAGGCCTCGAAACAACGATTTCCGACGGTTTAATCATCGGAAGCGAACGTAATTTCTTGAGCAGGCTCGTGTTTTTCTTTGGTCTTCATGAGGTGATGCTTCTGTGGTATCGAGTGATCGTGAGACCGGTGGTGGATAACACCTTGTTAGGAGGAGAAGACGGTCAACGGAGAGAAGAGACGGTGGTGGAGAGGGTGGCTTTGGCCGTTAGCTGTGGGACGTTGTGGTGGTGGAAGCTTCGAGATGAAGTAGAGGCTTTGGTTGGTGTGGCTGAGGCTAAAAGAGCATTGTTGTTGTTATTACCAATTGATGGTAATGTCAACGTTAGTTTTAATGTGGGAACAGTTGATTTTGTGAATTGGTGGTTATATTATATGGTTGTGACGATTGGTATGGTTAGGATCATAAAAGGGTCTTTGTGGTTTGGGATGATATTGCTTTTCGAACAAGGTAGAAGAAGAAATCCACGTGGAATTTCTACTGCTTCTAATGTTTCTACACCTTCTGCTCTTCATTTTGACGATCAAGCTGACAATAAAGTGTAAGTAACAGAACAGTTGTCAAATTATTTGAGAGTTTTATATGCAAATTTTGTATCAAACGTATAGCCTATGCGTTAAAGGATCTCTAGCAAAATTGAGGATTCCAATTTTATATACAAATTCATAATTTTCTTATAGTCTATGCGTCTATGACAAAGTTTTGGTTGAAGTTACCAAAACGAAGTTCAAGTTCCAAAGGCTTTACATAAGATTTGAGTAGGATCATAAAAGACGTCACTAGCAGAACTTAAAGAAGAGATTACTACTACAAAAACAGAGTCTAAAACACAGCTTCTACAAGTATGTGTCTCTTCTTAGACCCAAACCCAACAATGTGGTTAAGATAAACTCTTCCTTCTTTAACAGTAGCCGACGAGACTAACCGATGAACCATACCGCTGCTGAACCAACCCGTCACAGAAGCCGTCCGCCACCCGTCTGAACTCTCTACCAATTTCGAAGACGGGCTACCTGAAAACACTCACTAATAGTTAAAAAACCCAATACTTGTCTACATTCATTGGTAGACTTTTTAAAAATCAAAACTTTACTAAAGACTAAGTAACATTACCTGCAACAACAATCTTGGTGGGAGACAAGAACTCAAGCCCATCACCAAACCTCAAAGAGCCACCAGAAACGTCAATGAGAGTGACTTTACTACTAATATCCCCATTGGTAACATCGATTTTGAATAAGAAACCGGAGAAAGTGTGGATGACGATAAGGAATCCGTCCGGGTGATAAACAATGCCGTTAAGAGAGACAAAGTTATGATACCAACGAGGTGGAGTGAAGAGAGGGCTTCTAATGGTGTACACAAGCTTTCCATTCACATCAACAATCCATATTTTACCTCCTTTTGCATCAGATACATAAGCATTGCCTTGTGTATCAACCGCTACGTCGTCTGCATATGATATTTCTTAACCTACATTTCTCAACTTAAATCATTTCTTTGCTTAATCAACAACACAAAGAGAGAGCTAATTAAGGAGAGAGCTTACGTACTATGGCTGCTAAGCACTGTGAGGAAGATACGACGCCACGTGGACAAATCATAGGCCACTAAAGCACTATAGCGGTTTCCAATTAAATCGCCGACAGCGAGGAGGAGACGGTTTCGGTGGCGGTCGATGACGAATCCGTTGGAAGAGTTACCGGCGAGGTCAACGTCTTTGACCAAAGTGACTTCCTCAAGAACGTCGTCGGAATATTTAGTAGGAACAAGCTCGCCGATACCGCCGCCTCCGTCCATGTAGGAAACGAGGAATCTCCGACCAACGTCGTCCCATTTGGCGCACTCGCGGAGGAAGCCGGAGCTGTGGTAAGAGATGACGTGCGTGGAAGGAACAGCTTGCTCTAAGGAGATAAGATAAGCAATTGGAACAGCGGAGAGAATGAGGAAGAAGAGAGCGACGGAGCATTTGCCGGAGCAGCACGACGGCGACATTTTGAAAAACAAAAGACAGTTAGGGAGAGAAATAAATTGGGTGCGACGAAGACCACCTTATGGAAAGTGTGGAATAGATACAGAGAGAGTTTTGGTTGGTTAGCGATTTGGAGCAAATGGGGCCTACTTACGTCGATGCACATACAATACAACCTTACACTAGTTTTGGTGGCCCGTTGAATGTATTATTGGGCCCAGAATCTGTACCTAGAATTCAATACTAATAATTATTTTGTATCTTTGATTATTGTTGTTTCATGTTTGTACTTTTTTACCAATTTAATGCCTTTACTTTTTCTTCCTTTGAAGCTTTAAATTCACAAGTTGGTTATTTGTATATAGTAGGTAAGCTGAAAAATCATTTGGGCCCCCCTTCACTTCATACACTTGAGAAAATATTCAAATAGACACGTTTTTAAAATAGTTGTATCGTTTTAACTTATTTATTAAAATAAATATCGGTCAATACATAATTTGAGGTTTTGCTTTCTTTGGGTCGCATCAAATGTAGGTGTTTTGATGATATTTTATTATTTTTATTTTAAAACAAAAGTGGGAGACTGGAGTTGACCAAAAAAACAGTATAATAAAAGTTGGAAAAAAAAAAAAACTCTTCTTAAGAAAAAGGTAAATGGGCCGACTGGAGTTGACCAAAAAAAACAGTATAATGGGCCGATCACAGATGTTAGCCCAATAGGTTGGATGAGAAAATATATGATCCATGATGACAGTACACTAAATTGATTAATCTCTCATTTTAATCACACCTGAAAACTCTTCTTCATTCGTTCCGGTCGTCGTCGTCTACGTCCACACTCCGACTTGGTAAATCCCCAAATTCATCTGTCTCTCTCTCTTTTTCTTTTGATTTCTAGATTATTATAGTTTTTGTCGATTCATCTTCTAGATATATATTAAAGAGTGATTTCTGATTTAACTGATTCGCATCGATTCCTCTTCTTCTTATTGCGTCGATCTAAGGGATCGGGATCCAGAGTTCTTCCTCGTGGGAATTTTTTTGAAGCTTTATGGTTTTGTAGTAATGAACGTTTATCATTTTCGTTCGAGGGAAGATTTTTAAACTTTCGTTATGCGGATTCTGGATATTAGGCTGATTTTTTTTTATATCGTTTGAAGGATTGTCAAGTTATAGATTAGGATGGAGATTGCTATTTAATTGAATTGCTCCCTGTCATACAAATCACTGATTGTAGATTCAAAATGTTCATGTTTGTGAAGTTTGTAGGGACTGATTCATGTTTGTTTTCTGGGGTTATTCTTTATAACGAAACAGGTTCATGTTTGTATATATATATATATATAGTTGATTGTAGTATCAATACATTTATGACTTGTGGTTATGCTTGATCCAAACTTGATCCAGTTTTTCTCGATACGACAAGTTTGTTGTGAGTTACATTTCTAGCTTTTGTGTAGTGAAGAATGTAGGTAGGGCAATACTGATTCATGTTTGATCTTTGGGGTTATGCTGTTACATTTTGGTAGGTTGAGAAGAAGAAAGAAGAGATGGCAGGACACAAGGTTGCACATGCGACATTGAAAGGGCCTAGCGTTGTCAAGGAGTTAGTTATCGGTTTGGCACTCGGTTTAGCTGCTGGTGGTCTTTGGAAGATGCACCATTGGAACGAACAGAGGAAAACCAGAACTTTCTATGACTTGCTTGAGAGAGGTGAGATCAGTGTTGTAGCTGCTGAAGAGTAATTTAGCCGCTCAAAACCTGGTTCCTCAAGACTCTGTTTGATTTCCATTTCTGTTTGTTTTTATTTTTGGTTGGGTTTCTTAAAAAATAAACAAATCTGGGTATGGGATTTGCCAGGTATAAACAAATTCAAATGTGATGTTCATTCAGACATAATCTCTCTTGTTTTGTTTTGGGGTCTGAGAAATTACAAAGGGTGAATATTGATGCAAGTATTGCACTTGAAAGAGCGTTTCCAGTGTTCAATAACCTTTTTTCATATTATTATGAATCAGAGTGTTCTATGAAAAAATAGTTTGTGTTGCATCTGCCTTTTCTTGTTCTGCAAGTGCACTCGAATGCTGCATCTGGCTAGTGAAGCACCTTTGGGAACTCTGAAAAAAGCATAACCAGCAAGTTCCAAAAATTGAATCATTTAGGTGGTGTTATTCATTGATGGATTTTAATAGAATTGAAATCCAACACTAATCCAGTGTTATTCAACTAATGATTATAAATCTAACGTTAAAATCTGGTGTTATTAGATCTTATACTTCATTAGATTTTAAAAGTTTGGTGTTATTCAATGGTGGAGTTAAAGTCAATTCTTTAAGGTTTGTAAAATCCAGTGTTATTCAAAACTAAAAGACTTGTAAAATCTTTGTATATTAAGTCATTTCAAATGAAACCTCTTTGGAGTTTCATGAGTAAATTATTAGAATCAAAATCCAAGATATACTGCAGAGATTTTGAAATCCACACAAAAAGATTCTTAAAACCAATATCAGAAAGCAAATCTAAACCTTAAAGAATTGACTTTAACTCCACCATTGAATAACACCCCCTTAGTTAAATGTGAGAATTCTTGTGGTTTTGTTTTCTGTTCGGGAATGGTGAGAGAGTTTACCAGAGAAGTGATCTCCTGAGCTTGGAGTGAACTTCATGCTCACCAAACTCCGGATTACCACCACCTGTGCCTGTGGCTACTTTGTCTGCAGAATCTGAGCCTTCTTTGGACTGGTCGGGACTTGTATCTGCATCTGATGTGTTTGGAACGCAGTATTTTTGAAGCCAACGGTCAGTTTCCCAGAGAACGTGCATAATGCTTTCCCGTGCTGAGTACCCGTGGCTCTCGTGTGGAAGAACAACAAGACGGCAAAGAGCGCCGTGGCCTTTTAGTGCATTGAAGAATCGGTCTGACTGTTACACAAAGTAAGTGAAATGAATATAGTTAGAGAGAACCAATCCAGTGAAATATTGGTGTGAACTAATCCTTTCAAGTAATTTCTATGAAGTTATAACCTGCATTGTTAGAGTTCCTGGGTTATTGTCTTCTTCACCATGAATAAGCAAGATTGGCTTCTTGATTTTATTAGCAGACATGAATGGGCTCATCTCTACGTAGACGTTAGTGGCTTCCCACAGAGTTCGGTCCTCGTTCTGAAAATTTCCAGGCATAGTTAAAGAATAACCAAAAAGATAGGTCAATAACTATCTAAATGCAGAGAATGGGACGAGAAAGACAATTGGTCTTGGCACCTGGAAACCAAAGGGCGTGAGTGTTCTGTTGTAAGCGCCAGATCGGGCGATTCCGCAGGAGAAAAGATGAGGAGCATGAGCAAGAAGATTTGCAGTCATAAAAGCTCCATAGGAGTGTCCCCCAACTGCAATTTTGCTTGGATGAGCCACCTTGAAAAAAGGACAAAACAATAGTAAGTTTCAAAACTGTTGTGGTTTAATACAATACCGAGATGATGGATTTAGGATAAAGCAATGCTTACTCCACGCCTGACGACTTCCTCTACAGCAGCCTCAGCACTTGCAACCAGTTGCTCTACATACCTGAGAATGTTGTTTCAGTTGTTCACATTAGAATCTGTCAAGCTCAAGCACATCTCAGATCTGAAACTTAAGTGGTTTGATGTCACAGGTTCCCACTTAATTAGTTTGCTTATGCTTACAGGAAACCTTTACCCAAGAAGATATCACTGGTTTCCATGTTTTAGTAACCAGCTTTACGAAAGTAAATATCACTGTACCTATCATTAGCCTCTTCATCACCTTCACCAATTATAGGTATAGTAGGTCCAGATAATATAGCAAACCTGCACAGTGCAGAAAAATCCAGATGGTATAAGCTAACACTCGATCAACAAGCTCAATGAAATAGACTCCAGCATACTGAAACAACAAGAAACAGTACCAATGCAAAACAAGCATAGTATTGGAAAATGTTAGATACCTTCTAGCAAGCCAAAGAAGGGCAGAAGTTGAACCAATGCCTGCAAATTCATTTGGAGAGCCACGGACTTGACCAGCAGCATCTTTGCTCTTGAATTCACCAGGATAAGACCAAAACAGACAAGGAAGAGGACCGTCTTTTGATGGATCATAGCCTGGTGGTAGGTATAGTGTTGCAGTAAGTTGAACCCCGTCTTTCCGTTGATACCTGATCATCTCTTTCTGTAACGAAGCCAACTGCGGATACGGATGAGGAAAGTTTGTAATCTGTTGCACTTTCCTATCAGGCCAAAGTTGGAGAGAATATTGGGTGTTTTCTGTTTTAGACTCCTTTGATGTCAGAATTTTCAGCTCCTCCATTTTTAAATCCCCTTCTTTCTGGTCAGACATCAAAGCAACAACTGTCTCGAAATACTTTTCCTTGTCGCTCTCCCAGATTCGTTCTTTGTTGCCTGTATTTCTAGAAAATTTTGTACAGAACATTCAGTTTGTTACTGCGTAATGGCAATAAAACTAAAGGAAAAGCGCAAGAAAGAGAAGTCATTGTCAGGTTGGGCTTACATGTCAAACAAGTCAAGGAAGGGCACATTCCCTTGTGGTGTAGCCCCACTTCCGTTCAGTAATACATAAGTGCCTTCATCATTTTCCTTCTTTATCTTTGCTATTACATACGTTCCAGCAGCGGTTCTCCTCAGCATGGTCGAGCCAGGGTCTGAGTACACATCTTCCGATGATCTATCAAACAAGATGCGTGGACTGACATCGTTAGATCGAGGAGAGATAACCCACGTCCTTGTTCGTCGTGTTTTATACCATGATTCATAAACTAGAGCTAACGTATCATCACACCAAGAAATCCCTCTGCAGAATTGAAATCGGATCAATGTTAGGACAAAGAAGGCTTTGATGAAGTTAGTCAGTTTGTTGATAAGATGGCATAAGTAATCTGCAATATCCGCTGTGTTTTTAGTTTTTACCCATAACGAAGATCGAGCTTGTGTAACACTTCTGGTTCTTCTCCTGCCAATGGTTCCGCAGACTGCATATAAACTATATCACGCGGTGAAACTTCCATTTTGGCATCACCTCCATCTTGTGTTTCTGCCCTACATATCTCAGAAGAGTTGCAAATTAATTACTTCCAAATCCCATTTTGGAACGTGTACTACATGTGAATCACTTTGAATCTCAAATATTTACCAGTAGAGGGTTGAAGGCTTGTCTGCTCGCCAGTTTATTGAACGCATTCCTTTCCGCACACTATTGGAGGCAATGGGGATATCTTCAGCTAAGGGCAAGTCACATAGCTGTCTTACAAATCTACCATCAGTTGTCCAGACTTCCACCTTCTTTGGAAATCTACCACAGGGTACAATGAAAGAATATGGCCTGTGAAGTGATGACACTAACAAGTATTTATGGTCTGTCGAAGGGTCTAACGATGTATACACTGCAGGAACCCCTACTTCCTTCACTGTGCCATCCAAAGAAGCCAATACTAATTGTGATGTGGCGTAGTAGTCGAATAAATCAGCATCATACTCATCCTTAAGCAAATCTTGGAATGTTCTAACTTGGACAACAGTCTTCGTCTCGTTTGACAGAGTTTTGGGACCAGATGGGACCAAAGGTTTCTTTGGTGGGTCTCCACGAGATGAAGGGATTGTGCTCACCAACAAAGTGGAATTATCAATCCAAACAAAACTCTCAAAAATCGCATTCAGATAAATATCTTGCGACTTAAACAATGGTCTAGCTAGTCCAGTCTCAACATCAGCTACCCATACTACTGGCTTACTACTATTTCCGTTCTCATCGACCCGGATGCTGAACGCCAGATGCTTACCATCATTAGACCATGTAACAAAGTTAATCTTACCACCATCTGGAATGCCAGTGATCTCCTTCTCTGGACTCAATGTACCATCAGGCAATAGCTGATGGATTCCTAAACCAGTATAGAAAGACATCCTGCTTCTGGTATTGCAGTGTCCATCAATTCGAACACCAGCAAGCTTTTCCTCTGGTCTAGCTAAATCTGCGAGGGGAGGCAATGCTCTCCGCTTGAGAAACAATATCTTATCCCTATGTGGTGAAAATGATAATGCCGGGACTGGTGGAGCATCTACAATATCTCTGATCTCAGGTGGAGGCAGACGATATCCAGTGCCTAAAGCCAATTCTACATAGTTCAAACACAGACAAATAATCAAAAACGATTTCTCAGATTTCAACTGAATCCTACAAAATCTGAGTGGCGTCAATTGAATCGGCTAAAAAGGATGAATTACCATCATCTTCAGTTACAGTAGCAGAGGCTGATACTGAGCCATTAGAGGTTCCACCACCGTCTTCAGCACCTCCAGGACAGACAGATGCGAGACAACGAAGTCTAGAAGCAGCACGTGAAGACATGACGACAGTGGTCAACGGGTTATCGGAGAATCGGCGAACTCTTGCGCAACGGCTTGTACGCAGCGTAGAGAATCCGGCAAGCTTAGGAAGTAGAAGGAGAGAAGCAGCCGGCGACGGAGACGGTGGAGATAAATGGCAGAGAGGTGAAAGAGAGAAACGATGACAAGCTTTGTGAAAGCGCATCATCTTTTTTTAATACTTGACTTTTTTAACCTTTTTAAAGTGCTATGAATGATTCCCTGGCTTTTTCTATTCGACGGTTCACTAAACACAATACGACTACTGTGTGTATTCTAACCACGAAACAAAAATCAGGTAAATATCGGCACTGGTCACTGGTTATGTGGGCCTTATCTATGGCCCAACTAGAGCTTATTTCCTAGGATATGGCCCATTATAAGTTCAGTCGTCCTCTCATTTTTCTCAACAAAATGAAATACTCAAAAATAATTATGCTAATTTTTATGAGTACTTTATGTCTACGAAAATTACAGAAGAGAAAATGAACACAAACTTCTGCAATTTCAGTCAAATTTTATCGGAAAGAAAAATTAAAGCTTCTATATTTTTCAAGAAAAAATGTTAACGCCTTAACGGTTGATAAAAAAAATGAAACTAAAATAAATATTCCGCGAAAAAAATTTGTTTCTCAACATTGATGGAATACTTTTTGTGAAAAAATCTAAATACACGTGGCAGAATATGCTTGGTTCTTAGAAGATAAGAGGATTGTGTTCACAAAGTTAATAACGTGAACGAGTATATTTATCTTCTTCATCTCTTTCCATCAAAAAATCTCTCCTCCTCCACCAAAATCCTCCAACGATGACAACCATAGCTGCAGCTGGTCTCAACGTCGCTACTCCACGAGTGGTCGTTCGACCGGTGGCTCGTGTATCCGGTCCGGTCCGGTTGAATTACCCGTGGAAATTAGGTTCGATGAAGCGGATGGTTGTGGTTAAGGCGACATCGGAAGGAGGGATATCGGATAAGGTGGAGAAGAGTATACAAGAAGCCAAGGAGACATGCGCTGATGATCCGGTGAGCGGCGAGTGTGTGGCGGCGTGGGACGAGGTGGAGGAGCTGAGTGCGGCGGCGAGTCATGCTAGGGACAAGAAGAAAGCTGGTGGCTCCGATCCTTTGGAAGAGTATTGCAGTGATAATCCTGAGACTGATGAGTGTCGTACTTATGATAATTAAAAAAAAAATGTTTTTGATGTTCGAATTATGAAAGTTTAGGGTATGGTCGTCAGATCGATGTTTGTTCTTCTTGTCCTTGTCGTTGTGTTTGTGTTTTTTGTTTGGTTGATGATTGTAATGTGATAAATGAATATGAATAGTACAATACACAACATATGTTTCATAATTTTTTTTTGTTTTGTTCGATTACATTTGCGATTTGTGGAATTGATAAGAATCTCAACTATGTTTCTGAATTTGATGAGGCCGTGATGATCTTAGGTCTCTTGTATATGCACTCGCATAAGTTCCTTTTTTTTTTTTGTGGCTGTGGAGAGGGATGTGTCAAAATGATGTGGAGTCGAGAGAAAGATGAAATGATTAGACTGTTTTGATCGATTGTAAAAGAGCTGGTATCGGGGATTAATCTAGTTTCAACAAGATGGGTAACAACAACAAACATGGGCCGATGCAGTATAATGGGCTTTATCAAGCATGGGCCGATGTGCAAATTTGACATATAGAATAGAACCAGTTTATGGCAAGCCTCATGGTGATGACTGATGAGAAACAGTAAATATATTAAGGAAATTACTACCTATGTGAACTAATTTGACCCAAAAAATAAATAAAAGTGAACTAAATAAAAAAAACTGAAATATATACAATTTTATTTTCTTGTAACAAAAAACACCAATGAAAAAATAAAAAGTGAATGAATTCAAAATCGTTTATCTTTTTGCATTAAATTGATTTATAAAAAAATGTAAATAACATGAGTGTGCTTGTTTGATGCTCTTCTGTGTTATTTTGCAATTTTGAATTCGTTCACTTATATATATTTTTGGCGGTTCAAAAAAGTAGATTTTAACAAGAAAAATGCATCGGTACGGTATCACCAGTTAAAAATCTGAAGGTAAAAAAATGTTTATTATATAGAATTACTTGTCGATCTATTTGTCGGCCCGGCCGCTATTAATACCCAAACGTCATTTATACCCTTCCAATTCTCAGGCGGTTTAAAGAAGGTGCCTCAACAAGTAAGGGGTATATCTGTCTTCTTGTACATACGTAACGGAGTTTCCTTTTTTCCCTGCTTATTAAAACTCTCCGTATTATTGTTTCCTATTCGCAAATTTGTATTTTCCACATTTTCCAGAAAAATCTCACAGCGGTAAAAAAAAAAAAGAGAGTCACTGGTCTTGTTGTTTCGTTCTTCCTGGCGATGTCGTACCAGGACCAGGAGCGCACACAATTCGCAGAATGTAACGTTCTTACTCTTCTTCTCTCGTTTTCATGACCTAAAGAATCGTTCGAATTCGCTGCTCCGTCTCTCTGGTTTCTTCCTTTTCTCCTGCTTCGAAAATCGTTGAATCGAGATTCCTTTCTCTAGCCACCCATCAAGTGAGCTGTATCTTTGTTGACCTAACTAAACCCTAGCTTCTTCGAGGTTTGCTCTTTATCTCCTTGTCTTTTCTAGCTGCCAAATTTGCGAGTTTTACTTGATTTTCATTTTTATGTATGATGTGTGTTTTTCCATGTAATTGGATCTTAGGGGTTTTTGATTCGGGAATTACTCGTTGAAATCGCATTTAAGATTGTGTCTCAATGCTTTTTTACGATCCAATTCCTTGTGATGTTTTGTGGATTCCTTTCAGTCGCTTAGTTAGGGGAAGCTCTCTTTCAGGTGCAGTGTAAGGTTCGATTTCAATACAGATGATCCTCTACTGTGTAGGAAGAACAGGTAAATTTACCTCAGATTCCAATTTTGAAAAGAGAACCCTAGTTTCTTATTAGGTAAGTGGGCGATTCTATTTCATATGATATGTCTTGGTGTTCAAATCTGTGTTTATCTTGTTCTTGTCGTTGCTACTCTAAAACTGAGTCAGTATATTGCATGCTTTAATTGAGGAGACTATCTTTCACTTTGGCAGTGGCATTTTGTTGACGAGTGCTTCTCTTTCACACGCCGCCTTATCATGGACTGGATACACAAATCTACTTCTTTTATGGAAACTTCGAATTTGGCAAACCTGGTTCAAGGAAATGTTCCTCTTGAGCCACAGGAGAGACATTCTTCGCTAACTGATGTAGATATGGACCTTAGAGAAGTCTATTTCCTCATTTTACATTTTCTTTCTACTGGCCCCTGTGAACGAACCTTTGGCCACTTGAGAGACGAAATTTTGGAAAAGGGCCTTTTGCCCCGTAGATATCATTCCTGGTGGTCAAGAAGTGGCACTTGTAGTGGGCGTGCTGACGATGATGGCATCTCCCTCCCCTTGAGTTATGATAATTTGATAGAAAGGTACTGTTTCTTTTCTTTCTTTTTTTTGCTTACCCCACTCTTAATTGTTGAGTTACTATGGAAGCCTTGCCATAGCTCATTGAAATGTTCTGTTACTTGTCTCTCAACATACCTCCGTAATTGTGCCCAAGTTTTTTTTCCTTTCATGACTTCTGTCATCATGTTTCTTTTATTTACAGGTATCCTCATATCGAAAAGGATCACTTGGTGAAGCTTCTCAAACAACTAATTTTAAACCCGTCTTTCCCTTCACACATGAGAGTTGAAGGAAATGCTCCTAATGCTGCTGATGTTCCAACACTATTGGGATCTGGCACCTTTTCACTTGTCGATCGTACGTATAATTCCTATTCATCTACTTTGTCATGCCTGAATTTCAAAAGCTTTTCCATGAATTGATGTTTGGAAATCAGGATATGTTTTTTCTTTTAACTTTTGCATGCTATTCATTTGATTTAATATCGACCGCACATTGTTTCTAGAATGGATCGCTCAGCAACATTTTCCTTTATATCTGAGACTTGAAAAAATCCCATATATGCATAGAACCTGATAGTGGCTCTAGGGCTGTGCATTTTAGAAATTTGTTTTTCTGGCTTTGGTAATCTTTACTTGGTATCATGACTTGTATTGGGAATTCTGGTGAAGTAGCTCATATAGGAGAAGATAAGTCCAGGGATGCTTTAACTTGGAAAGTCTCTCTAACCTCTCCAGTTCTTACCCTAGGTCTTTGATTAAGTTGATTCTGAATCGTTAATTTTGTTTTTTCTCTGTTAAGGTAAAAATATAGAGTCTCAGAAAGCTAAGCATGTTGCGTCATACTTACGCTGGCCGCATATGCATGCCGATCAAGTGCGTGGCCTAAGTCTCAGAGAAATTGGAGGAGGTTTCAGAAAACACCACCGTGCTCCGTCCATTCTTTCAGCATGTCATGCTATTGCAAAACCATCAACAATGGTTCAAAAGATGCAAAATATAAAGAAGCTCAGAGGACATCGTAATGCTGTCTACTGCGGTATGATATTCACAATACGTCCTTTGTCTTGATTCTCTGGTTTGTGGGAATTCTATACTTTGTTTTGTTACATGTGCAACCTTGGAATTTATACCAGTCTGTTTACATCTTCTGATTAGAGTATCTGGAAGTTGTAATGTAGTATGTCCATCATAGGAGCACCTTTCATTGTCACAGAATGTTTTTGTTGGGTAGAATAGTAACTGTATGGCTATTTATACTTTTGTTGCACAGCTATATTTGATCGTTCTGGAAGATATGTTATCACTGGTTCCGATGACCGGCTTGTCAAAATTTGGTCAATGGAAACTGCGCTTTGCTTGGCTAGCTGCCGCGGGCATGAAGTAAGCTATTGTTTTTCCATATTTGTAAGACATAGATTGTCGACTATTCTATTAAAATTTGCCTCGCCTATGCATGTTTCCTGTAGGGTGACATTACAGACTTGGCCGTTAGTTCAAATAATGCTTTGGTGGCGTCAGCTTCAAACGATTTTGTGATTCGAGTGGTAAGAATACAATTCTAGTCTTTAATGTCTTACTTGTTTTTATTTATTTGTCAGTTAGATAGTGTTGATTCTTATGACAGTGGCGGTTGCCTGATGGAATGCCAATTTCTGTATTGCGGGGCCACACTGGAGCTGTTACCGCAATTGCATTCAGTCCCAGACAGGCGTCTGTTTACCAACTTTTATCGTGAGTTCTGTTCAATATGTTTTCTATTTTAACTAGTTCGTTTCGCTCTATTCATGACCCCTGGATCTTTAGTTGGGATGTTTCATACTGCGTCTGGATTGGTAATCAGTTATTTGTTGTTTTTTATAATCTATGTAGGTCATCAGATGATGGAACCTGTCGTATCTGGGATGCTAGGTATTCTCAGTGGCTCCCACGAATCTATGTTCCAAGTCCTTCAGATGCTAGCACTGGTAAGAAGTGGTACATCATATTTTGTTCAATGTTAAAATATGTTTGGTTATAGAGCTCATTGGAAGTTTCTCTCTTAGGCAAAAACACTTTTACATCTTCCAACACGGCATCCACAAGCAATGCATCTCAGAGTCATCAAATATTATGTTGTGCATACAATGCCAATGGAACCATTTTCGTCACGGGTAGCTCTGACAGCAATGCAAGGGTCTGTGTTAAACTTTCAACTTTAGTTATCCTCCTTAGTAAATAGTTGTGCAGAAACTGTGGGATATGTTATTTGGTTTTGGTTTGCTTGTTAGTCTTGATTGTCAGTATTTCCATAATCTTGCAGGTTTGGAGTGCCTCAAAACCTAACTTGGATGATGCTGAACAGCCGACTCATGAGCTGGATGTTCTACGTGGCCATGAGAATGATGTCAACTATGTGCAATTTAGGTATTTTCCGGTGAACATGGTGCCTCTCTTAGATTGTGCATTTTGTTGGTTGGAGAACATGAATAGATATCTAAAAGGGTATTTTATATTTTGTTTTAGTGGTTGTGCAGTGGCTCCAAAATCTTCAACAGCTGATACTCTGAAGGAAGATAGTTACCCAAAGTTTAAGAATTCCTGGTTTGTTTCACGTTTTAAGTGTTAGACTTATCGTCATTCCTCTATCTTCCTTTTATTCTTAGTTAAGGATTAATACTTTTGATTACTAGGTTTTGTCATGACAACATAGTAACCTGCTCTCGCGATGGTAGTGCAATTATATGGACTCCAAGATCACGTAAATTCCATGTAAGTAGTTAATCAACCACAGAATGCAATGGTGCTTTGCAAGTTATTGACAGCAAATTTCCGATTCTATCATCATTTCCCTCGATGTTATATTTCCAGGGGAAATCTGGACGCTGGATGAAAGGATATCATCTGAAGGTTCCACCTCCTCCACTTCCTCCACAACCTCCTCGAGGAGGCCCACGTCAAAGGTTTCTTCCAACACCACGGGGTGTTAATATGATTATATGGAGCTTGGATAATCGTTTCGTACTTGCCGCTATCATGGGTAAATACTTAATCTTAGAGGAAATCTTATGATGCATAGATTATCATTTTGATGAATATCTCTCAGTCTCACTGTGTTCCAACCATGGATAGTAAAGTACATGAACGTACTACTCTCTTCTGTTTCCCTTAAACTGTCGGTGTATATTCAGATTGCAGGATTTGTGTTTGGAATGCTGCTGATGGTAGCTTAGTGCATTGTTTAACTGGTCACAGTGAATCGGTAACAATCCTCTAAATTTCTACTCCATCATTTAGTTGGGCCTTATTTCTTTCCCTTTTTTTTTGAGAATTGTGTGCTTCATAGTTCATTGTATATTGCTTCTATCTTCAAGTTTTGTTGTTCATCCCTGACTTTCTTTTGGGAGATACTAATATTGATATAAATGATCTGTTTCACTCATCTTCTCTTTGTAGTCCTATGTCTTGGATGTCCATCCTTTCAATCCTCGGATTGCTATGAGCGCTGGCTATGATGGGAAAACAATCATCTGGGATGTGAGTTTCATTTTTCTGGATAGGAATAATCCTTGATCTTATCAATAGCTGTACTTACATCCTTAGATTTTTTTTCTAGATATGGGAGGGTATACCAATCAAAGTATACGAAATCGGGAGATTTAAGTTGGTTGATGGAAAGTTTTCACAGTAAGTAACCAATGAAATTTCCAGGACAAGATACTCTATATTTTTCGGTTTTGTGTTTTGCAAATGACCTAACTCCAGTTAAACATGCACATGACTATTGAGTCTGAAACTAGAAGAAACAGTCATGTTAATCATATCCATTTGGGTATACAATTTAATATTTCTTTCAGTAAGACATCTGCTTCTAAAGCAGTTATTTAGTCACATGAAAGCTATGGAATCAATTTTTTATGATACTATTTCCCTGGCACTGTGTAGAGATGGGACATCTATCGTGCTTTCAGATGACGTTGGCCAGATATATTTTCTAAACACAGGACAAGGAGAGTCTCAAAAGAATGCAAAATACGACCAGGTATGGTGGATTTTACATCTCAGATGCATGATCATTTTCTAGTATATGGCCGAAGTCTCTATTGCTTTCTGACCCTTTGTCTTGCTTTCTTTTGTTTAGTTCTTCCTTGGTGATTATCGTCCTCTTATTCGAGATACCAATGGACATGTTCTTGATCAGGTTTGTTTCAAATACTTGTTTCTTCTGTTTTCTTTCTAATTTCTGTTGCGTTCTTTTTAATAGACCTCACCAAACTGTGCGTACTTTTTATATCTTTGCACCTGCTATATTGTTAAATTAATTTTAAGCTTTATAATTTTCATGGTGCAGGAGACGCAGCTTCTTCCTCATCGGAGGAACCTTCAGGATCTCCTTTGTGATTCAAGTTTGTTTCCAAAAGCTCATCTTTATTTCAGTTATGCAAGATGTTGGTTATTCAGGAAACATATTCCTGGTGTTTTATTTTAAATTTTCAGGTATGATTCCGTATCCAGAACCTGACCAGACAATGTTTCAGCAACGCAGACTTGGTGCCCTAGGAGTTGAATGGCGTCCTTCCTCGATAAAGTTTTCTGTTGGCCCTGATTTCAGTTTAGGTCAAGATTATATAATGCCTCCTTTGGCTGATCTGGATAGATTGATCGAGCCATTGCCTGAGTTTATAGATGCTATGTACTGGGAACCAGAACACGAAGTTCTGAGTGACGACAATGATTCGGAGTATAATGCTGAAGTTTCCTCTGATGGAGCTAGGGCAAGCCCATGTTCCAACTCGTCAAATGAACTTGAGTGCAGTTCCGAGGACAGTGACGTTGAAAATATTCACGAAAATAGCTATCATTGGAAAAGAAGAAGAAAACATCCTAGGGTATGTTTTGCTCAACTCATGCGATTTTGTTTGTCAGTATCTATTAACTAACTTCCGTTTTCTCAGGCCGAGGTCTCTACTTCATCTGGAAGACGTGATAAGAGAATTTTGGATGAGAATGATAGCTCGAAATCTGGAATTAAGAAAACCAAGAACCGGAGAATTGTTGTGAAGGCTTCAAAAAGAAAATATTCTGATGTCAAAGCATCACGGCCACAAAGAGCAGCGGCTCAAAATGCTCGATCCTTGCTTTCTAAAATTTCTGGAAGCTCTTCGGATGAAGTTGATGATGATAATGATTCATCCAACAGTGAATCTGATAGAAGCATACCCACTTCGCGACAGTTGGACAACCCATCTAAGATGCTGGAATCTCTTTCAAATGACAAACAGAAGAAAAGATTGATTGTAAAGATCTCTGTTAAGAAGCCAGCAGAGTCTGTGGAAAGCAAGGGAGATGTAATAAATCAGGCTGATTTGGAGCAATTATCTTCCAAATCTTTGGAGGAGAATCACAGAGTGATTGGTATATACTCCAGAGAACCCGGGTCAGGTTCTGTAGATGCAAAAGGCGATTCATGGTGTCAGAATATTCCCTACTCTATGAATACGCCACAGAGAGAAAAGGCCGATAATCAGTTGATAAAATCTTCAGATGAAGACCAGAATATGTGCAAGTGGAGGGACGAGATTCCTGTTTGTGAACCTAACGAATTAACTGCGTCTGAGAACGTAGAAGAAGCCCAACCATTTAATGGGTATGGGAAATCAGACTATAATGGGAACGTTTTGTTTGTATTAAATTTCCACAATATCTAATTCATCGTATTCTCTTGCAGGGATGAAGATCTGTCGAGAGTTGAACCCTTGTCTGGTCAGTCAAGACATTGTGATATAGATACTTCTATGGAAGCTGATGAGATTCTTCCAAAGAAAGTTCGACGACTGAGATTAAAGCTTCGGCATCCCAACAGTCCTCTAAAACTAGAACCTGATGAGGTAGCAGATGATTTGGCAGATGGTGGAGATGGATTTGCATCCATAGCTCCCTCTTCCGTGAATCCGATTATGGATTCTGAACCTGTGATAGATAGTGTTAGAGATTCTTCTGCACATGACTTTGAGTTTGGAGAATCTACAGCTGATGTGATACGTAGGAAAAGATCCGTAAGAAGTGAAACTAGTACAAGAAATAGCGCATTACGCATAAGGTTGGGCTCTGGGTCTGTAGATAAAATAAAGAAACAAGGGATGCCTTCGACAAGCGTGTATGATGGTGCATCACTTGAAGAATGGCCTTCTACCTCAAAAGCTGGGTCCCGGTCTAGATCTGCAAGCACCAGCAAACCAAGTCTGCATACTGGGATAAGGTTGAATAGTGTCTCAAGAAAAATCTCATGGTTATTGTTGTCAGAACACGAGGAAGGCTGCCGTTATATACCCCAGCTAGGAGATGAAGTTATTTACTTCAAGCAGGTAGGTCCTTTTGGCTGGTAATTCGTTGTTCACTTCCATGTATTAATTTGCCAGATGTGGAGTTAATAAACTTTCCTTGACTGTCGTTTTCAGGGTCATCAAGAGTTCCTTGAAACTAGAGAATTAAATGACAGGGACCGATCAAGGTACCTTCCCCGAAACCTAGGAGCTGTAGAGATTTGCAAAGTCGAGAAACTTAACTACGATACATATCCTGGTTCTGGGGAAAGCTGCTGCAAAATGACCCTCAGGGTTCTGGATTCTTCTTCATCACATGCCTCCCGCAAAGAGTTTCAATTGACACTTCCTGATCTCATTAATTTCCCTGATTTTATTGTGGAGAAGACTCGATACGACGCTGCAATTCAAACAAACTGGGAAATTGGTGATGAGTGCCGTGTATGGTGGAGAAATGCATCCGGTGAAGGCGGGGCTTGGTGGGCAGGTAGGATTGAGTCTTCAGAAGTAAAATCCACTGAATTCCCAGAGAGTCCATGGGAAAGATACAGAGTTGACTATGAAACAGGGGACACAAGTCTTCACAGCCCGTGGGAGTTTGACAATCCCCAGTTTCCCTGGGAAAAATCTACCATCGAAGAAAAGAGAAGAGAGAAACTGCTTTCATTATTTGCTGGACTAGTAAAATCAATCAGCAAGCATCAGGTTTGTCTTGTCTCCCGAAACTATCATTTCTCATCTTTCTGTTATCCTCTCGTAACTGTTATTTGCTTTTGTTATATATTCTTCAGGATAGTTATGGGATCCAAAAGCTAAACGAAGCTGCTCAAAAGATGGATTTCTGCAATAGGTACGGTACTTCACAACACTAGCTCTCTGCAGTTGATTATTTCAAAACCTCCCTAGTCCTATAAACTTAAGAATATTCCCATCTGGATTTGTTCAAAAAAAAAAAAACCCATCTGGTATACTTGGAAATCAGAAACGATAGTTGAGTGGGTGCTTATTTAAGTAACTCATATGATCAAACTTGTGGATTCTCTTATGTGGCAGTAATGATTCATGCATTGTGTAACTCTGGTTAAAATGGCAGGTTCCCGGTTCCTTTATACCCTGAGCTGATTCACCAGAGACTAGAGAATCAGTACTACAGAAGTATTGAATCGTTTAAACACGACGTGGATGCAATGCTCTCAAATGCGGAGTTGTATTTCGCTAGAAACGCACATATGCTTTCGAAGATGAAGCGACTCCGAGAGAAATTGACAAAAACGTTAAGAAAGCTGATCTGAGGATAAGACTGGTATGCTTCTTTTGGTCCTTTGATGAATATGTATCTTGTTAGGCTGCGGCAGTGTTTTTTTTTTAATTATATAGCGAAGAGAGTGTTAAAGGAAAATTTAAAAGTTTTCACTCTAAACAAAAGAAGTCGGTTTTGTTTGTAGTCACCCGACAAAGGTTTCGTGTATAGAGTTTTAGTACCACAAGACTAACATGTCTGTAACAGAAATTTCACTCTTTTGTCACATGAATGACATCATAAGTCTAATTTTATTACTGATGAAAAAAAAAAAAAGGTCTAATTTTATTACAAGAAGATTATTATTATTTCATTTGCAACTAAATTGTTTTTCTTTTTAGTTAACTACTAATATTAACATTATATTTTCGTTTAAAAAAGTATGTGAAATTGAAAACAGTAATTGGAGTTGAAATATATATATTTTTAATTTTTTTAAATGAAAACGGACCAAAAAAGAATAAAAATAATAACAGAATACGTAGGTTAAATAGAAAACGCGGGTGGAAGAAAGTAAAAAGAAAAACCCTAATCATCATATCTTCTGCCGCCGTCGTCTGTTAGAGGGGTTTCGAGAGAAGCAAAGTGAGCAAAAGAATGGCGGGAGGCAAGATGAGGAAGGAGAAGCCCAAGGCTTCGAATCGAGCACCGTCGAACCATTACCAAGGAGGAATATCCTTCCACAAATTGAAAGGGCAACATATCCTTAAGAACCCTCTGCTTGTGGATTCGATTGTTCAGAAAGCTGGGATTAAGAGTACCGATGTAATTCTCGAGATCGGTCCCGGTACTGGAAACTTGACCAAGAAGCTTCTGGAAGCTGGCAAAGAAGTTATCGCCGTCGAACTCGATTCTCGTATGGTTCTCGAGCTTCAGCGCCGTTTTCAAGGAACTCCCTACTCTAACCGCTTAAAGGTACTTGATTTTGTTATTGATGATCATTTTTCTAAGCTTAAGGACTATATTTGTTGATCGTTGAAGATACTGGAATCTAAACTTGAGAATTTGAATTCCAGCATCATATCGTGATGATTCATGTTTGGAATATAAATTGTCATATCTTGCCATCTTGGTTACTGGCACATACATATGCTGATTGTTCTCCTTTGTCTCTTTTAAGGTAATTCAAGGTGATGTGCTCAAGACCGAGCTTCCCCGGTTTGACATATGTGTGGCAAACATTCCGTATCAGATATCATCTCCTCTCACATTCAAACTTCTCTTCCATCAAACAAGCTTCAGATGCGCTGTCATCATGTACCAGAGGGAATTCGCCATGAGACTCGTTGCCCAGCCTGGTGACAATCTCTACTGCCGTCTATCTGTCAACACTCAGCTTTATGCCAGAGTCTCCCACCTCCTCAAAGTCGGCAAGAACAATTTCCGCCCACCGCCAAAGGTCGATTCTTCGGTTGTCCGTATCGAACCAAGGAGGCCTGGCCCTCAGGTTAACAAGAAGGAGTGGGATGGCTTCTTAAGAGTCTGTTTCATCAGAAAGAACAAAACCTTGGGATCAATTTTCAAGCAAAAGTCTGTTCTTTCCATGCTGGAGAAGAACTACAAGACTCTTCAGGCTGTACTAGCTTCGTTGCAGAACAATGGAGATGCTGCTTTGAACACCTCCATGGATCTTGGTGACCAGAGCATGGGAATGGAAGATGACGACAACGAAATGGATGATGATGATATGGAGATGGATGAGGGAGAAGGAGACGGAGAAGAAACATCAGAATTCAAGGAGAAAGTTATGAATGTGTTGAAGGAAGGTGGTTTCGAGGAGAAGAGATCTTCAAAGCTATCACAGCAAGAGTTTTTGTATCTTCTCTCCTTGTTCAACAAGTCTGGTATTCACTTCACATAATGGTTTTGTGCTGGGAAAGTTTTGTCCTTTATTATTATTAGATTATTATTCAAGTTTAACATTTGGATGTGGAAATCAATCAAAGTCTTTGAGGTTATTGACGCAACCCTTTCTTCTGCTCATAATTAAAATGATTCAGTTTTTTCTGCTAATTTTAGTTCTTCTAAACATTTTGTTCTCTAAGCACAATGCAGTGTCGTTACCCATAAAAGATGCAATGTTTTGTTTCATTTGGCTGAACATCTTTTGGGACTTTAGACTAGTTCATCTGTTTTGTATCTGAAGTGGCATATTCTTTTTAAAAACAACGGGAAGCTTAAAATAAACTTAGAAGTAAACTGCTATAACATGGTACTAGCAAAATGCCGCATCCTGTCTACTTTATACAATACTAGTGCAGGGTAGTCGTCTTGCTTTCGATTTCTCTAATGACATTTGCAAGTTGATTCAAGCTTTTATCTAAGAAGGCGTCCATACCAGCTTGAATGGTTTCTCTTGCTTCTCTTGAGCCAGGATCATGACCAGATACCGCTATAACTGGTATACGCACCCCATAACTTTTCTCCACTTTCCTAATCTCTCTAGTTGCTTCATATCCATCCATTTCTGGCATCTGTGCATAACATTAAAACTTATTAGGAGTGAACTATTTGTTTTTGTGTTATGGAAGGTTAGTCAATTAAACTTACTTGGCAGTCCATGAATATGTAGTCAAACGGAAGCTTATTGACTGAACCTTGTTCTTCTCTTTGTGTAAGCCCTTCAGTGACTAATCTCACAGCTTCTTTTCCACTGTCGCATTGTAAGACCTCGGAGACTCCCATCTTCTTCAGCTTTCCTGTTGCAACTTTACGTGTTAAAAAGTTATCATCGACCACAAGAACTCTCTTTCCTCTTAAGAATTCATCATCACTCGGCTTGGAAGTTCCTTCCTCGTCCTCTGGGTTCCCAATAGGCTTTCGACCGGTACGCACTGACTTGACCCTAGTCTCACTCTCTGAAGCTGTTGGTGCCATTATCGTCTTACCTAATTTTTTGTTAAACATTGAGCTTGGTCCCTCTTCTTGGAATTTATGTTTTGGTGATCTCTCTGCAACAAAAGACTGTCTCAGCAGTGATTCTCTTTGCAGCTCAGTAGGTGTTTCTTTTAGCACAGTTCCTCCAAATTCAGGCAACATCTTCAAGACTTCCATAAGACGTGATCCGTGCAAGGGTCTCGAACAACTAATGTCCCCTCTCTCACTTACACGAGTGCTCGATTCGTTAAGCCAAACAACTTTACAGGTTATTCCATGGGGCAAGCCTCTACGAAACTCTTTGACAATATCGTACAGCTCAAAAAGTGGTCCAGTGTTTGCATCAATCACCAAAAGGACAACTGCAGAGAAACTGGTGCTTCTTCTTTTAGGAAGTTGGCTTCTTGAATCAATACCATCCATGCCAATCAAAGGTAACTCTCTTGAGCTTGAACATGACAAACTATACTCTGCTCTTCCCATGGAACTCTGAGGTGAAAATCCAAAAAGTCTCTCCAAGGCATAACTCAAATGCTCCCATTTCTCCACCACTATAACTTTAATCCCAAGATTCTTTATGTATTTCTCGGTAACTCTCCTGCGTTCTTCATTTTTCAATAGGAGAACCACTCTAGAACATTCTTGCTTCGGACTTGAGCTGAGACAGTTGTTGAATCTAGGACTCAGGTTGCGTATATTCATGCTACCTCCCAGTGAAGTGTTTATAGTCAGCCCGAGGTTTGGTGTGGATACGTAATCGCCTCCTGCTTCAAAATTCGGTCTCACTTTCATGTCACTCACTGGAGGAGACTCTAATGTTGTCAATAAAACATTGAATTGGAAACATGTTCCTTTCTCCCCCATGGCCTTGTCTGTGATTCTTATCTCCCCTCCCATTAATCGTACCTATAATAATAGACCAGAAATGAAAACCATTTAGATGCATTGCCATTTACTTGTTAAGAGAATCAACAATTTCAGTTTAGTAGCTTACCAAAGACTGCACAATCCCAAGCCCTAAACCAGTCCCTTGTTGTCCTTGAGCTGTTTCTCTTACTTGTACATAGTTTTCAAACACCGATTTACGCATCTCCATAGGTATCCCTTTACCTGTATCATCCACTTCAAACACAAAGTCCATCGTGTTGGCATTGTTTCTTATGGAATTCGAGATTTCTGCTTCGTAGGTTGATGACTGGTCTTTATTCTTGCAGAACATACTCTTTAAAAACTTGGACACACCTTGAGGGTCTGATGCAAGGACCACAGAGCTTTTGGAACCTGGCCTCTGAGCCCAAGCTCTGATCGAAATGTGCCCGTCGACTGTGAATTTGACAGCATTGCTGACAAGATTGTTCAGAATCTGCTTCAGTTTGCCACTATCCCCTCTCACATTCAAGAATTTGAAAATTGAGCCATCGTGAGGATCCAAAACTACATCAACCCCTTTCTTCATTGCAACGGGATGGTAAAAATCGATGACGTCTTCAAGAAGTTTCGACAAGTTGAAATCTTCTTCCACTAACTGCATCTTCCCGCTTTCGATTTTGCTCATGTCCAAAACAGAGTTGAGCAGAACTGTTATTTTAACAACATGAGGAAGACTTTTCTGTTAGAGAGAAGGTGAAGAAAACACATGAGAGAAAACTAAAGAATCAGAGTCTTACCAACCAAATCCTTGGAGCAAACATTCACTTGCTTGAGAGTGGTGTCTATGTCGGAGCCAGGTTTAACTTCATCACGACATATATCTATCAGACCTTTCATCCCTGCAAGGGCACCTCTAATATCGTGGCTAGCATTTGCAAATGCTTGACTCTTGTTCATGCTCTTTCTCTCAGCCTGTTGTGTTGCTTCCATTTGGTTTATCAGCGTTGCACGCATATGCATCTCTCTCCTTGTTGCTTGCATCATAAACCACACAAACCATACAGGCCAACCCAAGCCAAGAAATATCATAACCACAATAAATTGATATATTGCCTTTTCTGCTTGGTGCTTGATTCGTGTTGCTCCTCCTTCGTTGGGAAACATGAGTGTGTATCTCTGGTAAAAAAAAAAAAAAGACAATGGGAAGAAGCTAAGAAACAAATTGATGTATTTTTACTACATCAAAGTGAAAAATGTTTTTAGTATTTACCAGAGGAACTCCCGAAATTTCAAGAACAGAGCAAAAAGCTTGGAATTTTGATCTTTTGATCTCCACCTCGTACCCACTGGAACTGCAATTTTCATGGATGCATTGAGACCAGACGGATTTAGATTCTCTACGGAAGCAAATGGAGCCATTGGAGATAAAGAAAGAAGCATTCAGTGAACCTTCACGAACAAGTACCGTCCCGTCCTTTGTCCACATGTAAAGCTCTTCGTTGTGTAGATTCAAACTATTCAAAGCATTCGTTAAAGTCCTAACCGGAAATCCTAACGAAACAAGACCTTTCTTGTTGTACAAGCTAACCACGCTCTGAATAAGAGTCTCGTTTTCTTTTCCTCCCACACTTGTCCCTACAAAGGCGGAAGTGTAATTATTATTCAGTGCTGCTTGGAACCAATCTGTATGGGTTACATCTAACGGCTGTAATATCGTTGCGTTCCCGATGAGACGACCGGTTAACTGATCAACGGTTTGAGTGTACCAAGTGTAGTCTCCACCACTTGAATTGGACGAGGAATTGGCAAAAACAGCGACACTTGTGTTTGATTCTCCAATGTAAGAAAACAAGAGACCATCCCTACTAATATACGAAACTTGTGAGACTTGAGGGATCGTTGAATAAGCTTCAAACAACAATGGTGCAATCTGAACAACAACATAGAATTATAGATAATGTTATAACTCAAACTAATCTTAAGATGATAATTAAAAATAAAAAAATGAATTGATGTAATTACTTTTACCAACCTTTGTTTGAATCTCTATGAAACCAGTGTCGTTGTTGGTGAGATAAGAATCTACAACTCTCGCTAAACCGATTGTAGATAAGTTTGTCTTGGGATATGTAAACTTTCCGATGTTTTCAATCTCGGAAACTAGACTTTTCCGGAGATCTTCGGTAAAGGAAGCCACGTCTTTGGCCACGTTCTCCGTTGTTGTTCGCCAATTCGAGATCCATATGCACCCGAAAACAACCACTAGAAATGCCTATACAGTATATAGTTATTCAAAAAATATACATGGATGGATGATATATACATACAATAAATATATCATCTAAAAACCAAATCGAGATGAGTAGAATCATCGTATAGTTTAAAAGAAAGAAAGAGAAATTACCAGGACGCAAAAGACCACAATTGGACGTGAAGCCACAAGCTTTGTAACTTTCACCATTACTTCAGTAAATTTGTAGATTCACAAAAAAGCAAAAAATCAAATTAATTAATAAGTGTATCTCTTGATCCCTTATAACTTTGATTCTCAAGATCAAGACTCATCAAGAATGGCAAGATTACCTAGAGCGGCGATCGTTTTTAGAGGAACAGATTTTTGTCTTGATCAGTACTCGAAGGGAGAAGCTGTTGCAAAGGAAGCCAATGAAAAGAGCTCAGATTCATTTCCCTAAAGGTGTTGGACTATATATGACCATAGTCATGTAAATCACGGACCATGAGCTTCAACAAATGTTTTAGCAATTCTACAAGGAAGCATTGTTAACTTATTGTAGGAGGCGATACATATAAAAAAAAGCAACAAAGTACAACGATCTAGTGCCTTACATTTCACGTTGCAAGGAGAATGATAAACCCTAAAAAGCACCTTTCTTATTCTCACTTCTTCTTCCTCGGAGCAAGTCGAAACCCTTTTGACAAAACAAAAAACAAAAAAAATTGATTCTCATGATCCATTTCTATATATTTCATCTAGAATTGAGCTAGATTTAACATAATTGTTTATACATAGAGGGGTGTGTGTGTATACATGCATATATAATATACTATATATGACGAAGAAGAGAAGAGTAAAATACTATAGATAGAGATACATATAGATCTTCCACCAAAACAAAACCATAAACTCAAGTGCAATAATAAAATTAGGAATATTTATGAATATATCTTATGTATTGCAAAGGGGGAAATGAAGCTTAGTACAAACAAATCATGGTAATAAATAAAAACAATCATCTC